AACAGAATTCCCTGTCTTTGCTTTCCCAACATGTGAATTTCAAAGTATAATTATGGCATATTTCCAATTTTTTTCTGAACTAATTTTTTATTTTATTTTATTTTAACAGAACCATAGTATTTCTCAGGAAAACTGTCTGCCATTGAATAGTTTTTATATGTGCATGCATGCATCTATGAATATGAACATTCTTATATTCATATGTGAAGTAGATGGGATCCAAAATTACAACATAATAGTGCTCAATTTTCTCTACACAATCAAGTTAAAGAATATACAGATTTTTACTAATTTATATGTAGCAGCACATAAAGTGAGTCCAGTTTTCAAGCCCCCAGATTCATTTTAGGGACATAATTACCACATAAACTGATTTGAGAAATTCAAGAAAACCAGTTGATTTGTTCTTGGTTATGTTCTTCATTATCAGAATTTTTTTTTAAATTTCTGTTCTGAAGATGCATACTAAGTCATTACCGCTTGGATTTTTATATTGGATGAGAAGGTTCTACTTTTTGTCACATTGCCCTATGGCCAGTTAACATCTGTTTAATTTTTATAAGATAAAACCAAATAAAAAGTTATCAGAGGCACTGTGTATTAAGTAATAGGAGAAAGAAATCTTATGTTACATATTATTTTTTATTGTTTAGCTCTGTGATTCTGTCAGGTTGATGCAAAAATATTCTATTACAGCTTTGTCTTATCTAATTTCATTTGCAAAAGAAAAAAAATAGTTAATTCAAGTGCTTAAAAGCCATGTGGTTAAGTATGCCTGTGCAGGATAATCTCATTCTAAAAACATAAATAATAGAAAACGTGAGCCTTTGTTCTGTAGGACTCTCAAGGACTAAAAACTATGCATATCTGAAACTGGTGTGATACAAAAAAAAGCAATTATATTTTTTGATAAGTAATGCATGTCATATGTCATTTACACATGAATGAAAACATAAGTAAATATGTAATCAGTGGCCTTCTTGTAGTAATGTGTTTTAAGCTCTGAATCAAAATAAATAACATCAATCACAAATTTATGCCCTACTCTCTTAGGATCAATATGAATATGCCTTATGTGCTTCACAAAGTAAAGCTACATATTTAAAAATTGGAGAACTACAAAAGATTTAGTAATTTCAGTTGTCAATGTTGCATCCAAATTTAATTAGGGATATAGTAGTTTCTAGCCACCCATTTCAGAGAGATGGGTAGGACAAATATTTTAACAAGTGAAAATAATCTATCCAGATTTATGTGAAGACAAACCACCACTATAATTCTGGAGTGGAACATAGGAGTGAAAGATTGTGTGCAATTGTATAACACAGTCTCTAGCAGGAAACTATTTACTCTAAAATGCATCATTCATTCATTCACTCAACAAACATTCAGTGCCTACAGTATACTAGGCACTGCTCTAAGACCTGAGGACCCAGAGATAAATAAATTGCCCTATATTTCAAGCAGTTATTTACTAAACATATACATACAAGAGAACCATTGCCATCATGTCTAGTCAGATTTGTCTCAGCTGGTATTTATGAGATTTTCAATGTGTCATTTCATCTCTATTTTTCAGTCCTCAGTATCAAACAAATCAAGTTTACTTGAATTTTGTACTTTTTTGAGGGTTAATTAATAGAAAAAATCTAATATTATTTATATTTGTATTATTTTTATTGCTAATTTGTAGTATTCCTGCCATATTAAAAAGATTTTTCTGACTAATAAATTTGCTTCTTTGGAAATTTGGCAAAAAATTCAGACTTCCTGAATGAATTTCCCTAACCTTAAAAACAATTATGAATTCAGTCTATATAAAACACAAAATTAAACATTTTGAACCTCACTAAGGCTTGAAAAGGGCTGCACGCCTCATAGGATCTATCTTTAGCCTTATCCCTAGATTTTTACATTGTATTTGTTGATGACAAACATTATACATCAGATGACCTAATTTCTATATTGTATTATTTGAGTGCAAAAAACAACAGAAAAGTTGCTTACACATAATTCAATACCTAAATAGCCATAGATTTAGTTAGAATTCAAAGTAAAGGCTGTCCTATATTTTAAGAAATTGTTAAGTTTTTCACATACTGTTGACAAATTTCAAAAGTTCAAGGGATAGTTTTTTGCAAACCTAAGAGATCATCTGTCTGTGATCTCTTGTGGCAATTAACATCTGCTGGAACAATTCTCTCAGTGGCTTTTAGGTTTGAACTACCGGGGATTAGAACAGATGCTTCCCCTGGGAGTCTCCTTGACAAACAAAACAGAATTCCCTGTCTTTGCTTTCCCAACATGTGAATTTCAAAGTATAATTATGGCATATTTCCAATTTTTTTCTGAACTAATTTTTTATTTTATTTTATTTTAACAGAACCATAATATTTCTCAGGAAAACTGTCTGCCATTGAATAGTTTTTATATGTGCATGCATGCATCTATGAATATGAACATTCTTATATTCATATGTGAAGTAGATGGGATCCAAAATTACAACATAATAGTGCTCAATTTTCTCTACACAATCAAGTTAAAGAATATACAGATTT